CCAGCATCTGACAGCAGAAAATCTTGAAAACTTTAAACAAGTAAAATCCGAGGGTAGGTGCACTCATTGTAGTGCTAAAAGAGATAGCTGGGTGAGCTATCTCTCGAGTATCAACTCATACACATAAGAAGTTAAAGTGTGGAATAGGCTAATAAAACTATCAGATAAGCAGTTCAACGCTGTACCTTTTGTTGACAACCAAAGCAACAGCCTTGAAGACCAGGCAAATGCACTTGGTGCACATTTAGCGTGCGTGTCTAGATCTTCAAACTACTCAGAAAGTTTCTGTAAATACAAGGGAATTGCAAAAAAGAAACCACTGAACCGTAAGCCTAATAGAAATGAACAGTACAATCGTCCCTTTGGCATGGCTCAGTTTATGGCTTCCTTGAACGCTCGTCACAACTCTTCTCCGGGAGCCGATAAAATCATGTACACATTGTTAAAACATCTACATCGCGATGCGCAAATGGTGCTTTTGAGTCTCTACATCAAGGTCTGGACCGCGAGGTATATTCCTTTAGCATGAAAGGAGGCTATTGTAATCCCTGTCCTGAAACGGGGCAAAGAATCATCTTGTGCAGCAAGTTACCGGCCCATAGCCTTGACAAGCTGTCTTTGTAAGCTATTGGAAAAGATGATAAACCGCCGGCTTTTGTACTTTCTCGAAACTAATGGACTACTTGATATGTATCAGTGCGGTTTCAGACAGGGCCACTCTACAACTGATCATCTCGTGCGTATTGAGGCCTACATTTGGGATGCCTTCATCCACAAGCAATTTTTTCTCTGTGTGTTTTTTGATATGGAGAAGGCATATGACACTACTTGGCAATTTGGAATCTTGCAAAACCTCTCAGAATTTGGTAGTCGAGACAACATGTTAAGCGTAATAGAAAGCTACCTATGTGATCGCACCTTCCGTGTCAGAATAGGCAATGCCCTGTCTAAACCATTTATCTAAGAGAGTGGTGTACTGCAGGGTGGAGTACTAAGCTGTACCCTGTTCATAGTAGAAATGACCTCTCTTCGGTCATTCACTCCAAGAAACATGTTTTATTTAGTTTACGTTTATGATGTTTTGATAGGCTTTAGATCCTGTAATATTGCAGTATGTGAGCGGCAGATACAGTTAGGTCTCCATAAGCTGTCAACCTGGGTCAATGAGAATGGGTTCTAATGAAACCCTCAGAAAAGCTCCTGCGTTCTTTTCTAAAAAAAAGAGAGGCCTAATTACTCCCCCTGATGTTCATATACAAGGGCACTACATTCCTATGAACAAAGAAATTAAATTTTTAGGTGTTATCTTAGACTCAAAGCTGACTTTTATATCCCACATAAGATAACTGAAAAACAAATGTCTTAAAACTGTGAATATTCTTAAAATACAGTCACGCATGGCATGGGGCAGTGATAGAGAATGCCTAATAAAACTTTACAAAAGTCTCATATGCACACTCTTGGGACTCTGTGACTTACCATTTTGCCGCTCCAAGTGCTTTGAAAATGCTTGATCCAGATCATAATCTTGTTATCCGGTTGGCTACTGGAGCATTCAGGACAAGCCCAGTAGAGAGCCTTTATGTGGAATGTGACAAATGGTCACTCCACTTGCAAAGATCATATTGAAGCTTCATGTACTTTCTTAATATACTATCCGATCCACAGTATCCCACTTACACCACTCTAAATGATGTGAGCTCAGCCACGCTGTATGCAAACCGACCTGCAGTGCGACAGCCGTTCTCATTACGGGTGAGAAACATAAGTGAAGAAATGAATGTCCCCCTTCAGCATGTTTTGCTGCTCCCTGCAAGGCTGTTACCACTATGGCAGTGGAAATGTCTTATAGTGTGAGAGTGTGACACGTCTTTTGTGAAGGTAACTAAGCATGCCCCAGAAATACAGACACAAATGCACTACTGAGAACTAAAGTCTAAGTACTCATGCCCCGAATTTTTCACAGACGCATTAAAATCCAACGCGGACGTGTCTAATGCCGCTTTGGGTCCGTCGTTCTCGGAATGCGAGAGATTGCACCCACAGACGGATATTTTTACAGCTGAGGCATATGCACTCCTTTCTACTGTTAGGTATATTTATAGTATGAAGCTCCAAAAGGCGGTTATCTATACAGACTCGCTTAGTGTTGTCAAAGCTTTGAAATCACTAAAATACAGACAAAAATCCAATTCTTGTCGAGCTCTTTTCTGCTCTCTGCAAAGTGTATCTAGCAGAACAACATGTAAAAATATGTTGGGTTCCTAGCCATAGGGTCATTGAAGGCAACGTGCTTGTTGACAGAATTGCTACTACCATAGGAACGGAATCTAGAAACCTTTCTATAGGTCTTCCTGCCTTAGATCTTAAAACATTTGTGCGTAGAAAGGTGAGGGACTACTGGCAGCGATTGTGGGATACTAGGGTTTTGAACAAACTTCAGCTAATCAAACCACAGATAGGAAAAGGGCCTCCTTGTAGTAAAGTGCGACACACTGAGGTCATGCTCTGCCGACCAAGAATGGGTCGTACATACGATATCCACACTCACCTGCTCCTTGGCAATGATCCTTCTATCTGTGGTGAGTGTGGCGCGACACTAACAGTCCTTCACACATTATTGGAATGCCAGAGACTTGACACACTAAGAACAAAGTACTTTCCCCTGGCGTATAAACAGAATATACCACTACACCCAGTATTATTCCTTGGCTCAGACACCTTATTCTCAGCACAGGCTCGATTTTAGTCTTTTTAGATGAATCTCAAACATTGCATTGCATGTTATTGCCCCAACAGTGCCGTAGCTCAGCCTCTCAGGAGAGGCTGCTGCTGCGGTAGGTTTAAGAGATGCATGTTTCCAAGCCCTTGAGGTCAAGCAAGGGCCCTGTTGAGGCATTAGTGCCATTTTCATGAAACATCGCAATTTTCCTTTTCTTGTCAACTACCCCTAGTCTATTTTAACCTCCTACCACTTAAAAATGTAGCTCATTGCCCACCCCAGTACCCGCACCGAACTTCTATTTGTTGTATATATCTCTTTTAGGTCTTTTTACAGCCACTATATTATTAACACACTATTACTCATGATTCATCGACATTCCAACATCAATTGACATGGCGCTCTTTGGCGAGCCTTGGCCCTTGCGCCACAAAACACCATTACATCATCAAGTAGTATTAACAATGCTTATTTGAAGTCTGTGATGTCACAGAAATGCTAACCTTGGTTGAGAATAACTGGCCAGTGCAGTGTTTTTATATATGCGTTATGATGAGGGCACTGTTTATTCCCTTCATTAACGACTGCAGGAGCAACGTGTGCTTACTTCATTCTTTGGGTAGTGGGAAAAATTTGACCTACTGTTCCTCCCTTAATATCTCGAGTTGAGGAGACTCTTCTGTGCCGCCTGTGGCTCGGTAGGGCTTTCACAGGTGCATACTCCTATTGTATTGGAATGGCTAGCACCTTGACATGCAGTAATTGCAACTGATCTTTTGTGTAAGTGCACTAGTTTCAGTGTGCCAAGACAAGAACTTACGAATGCACTAGATAAACTAGACGATTGCCTTTTGTCGGAACAATAGATTATAGGTCATTCGTCGAGTCCATCCTCAGCCTAGGAGGCCTTTAAAGCGTTATTACGTCTTTAGTGGGCAACTGGTCGATGTGACAGACTTGAAGCACTGTCTTATTCTATTTACCTTTATTTTTACTTGTATTGCTGTCCCTTCTATTCTTTTTTTTTTTAATTTTACCATGCCTTTCCTATCATATTTTACTCACCTTACCCCCCTTCCCAGCACAGAGTTGCCAGTCAGTTTAAGAACTGGCTAAGCTCTCTGTTCTTTTTTTTATTTCTTCCTTCCTCCTTGCCTGTATTCTACTGTGTTGCTGCAGCAGTGACTGGTACAGCTGCAGAATCGTGTAGCTCACAATAGACAGGAAATGTGTGTTGAAACTTGAAAACAGTAGCAGCACATGAGAAAAATGCAAACCATAATATCCTGTGATAACAGTGAATGTTTCGATAAAATAATGTGACGATCAAGTACAAAAATAGAAACTGGGGAATGAAAACTAAGAAATAAACCTTTTAATATGTCTACACATCATTAGGTCATTTTGATTTATTATTTATATAGTATCTAAAGATAGAGGCAAATACAGTAGACTCTCGTTAAACAAAACCTGAAGGAACCGGGAAAATATGTTTCATTTAGAAGGAGTTCCGTTTAGTGGGAGGTGAGCATGGGTGCAGAATACACGCTTTAAATCAAACATAGCACGGGCAATTTTTCCGTTTAAGCAGTGGTTCTGTTTACCAGATTTCCGTTTACTGAGAGCCTACTGTATACAGCAGTTGTTGAATTTATTGGCTGCCAGGAAAGTGGCGAGTATGGACAGGACCATAGCTGATAGCTAAAGTTACTACCCTGTCAATGCTCATTTAGGATGGTGTATGAATCATATGTATAATTATCCACAGAGCAAAATACAAAGCGTTCAACTTCGGGTTGTTATATACAGCAGGAACTGGCACCCCTATGTGCATCAGAAGTGACGGATGTGGTCAGCCTGGCCACATTGGGGAAGAATACGGTGGCATAATAATACCAAACACAGGTCTGCGTAAATTAAAAAAAATAGCAGGAAAGGGAAGATTGAAGCTTTCGATGAAAAAAATCTGTACAGCGGTTGGGTCAAGCCGTTTCAACATGTGGACTTTTCTTCCTCAAGGCTAGAATGTGTGTTTCATTCATATGTGTGTACTTATAGTCGTGTTAATCCAACCCATTCCGTGCAACCTGGAGCCAATGGGTAAATGTGACCCAAAGCACACTCTTGCTAACTATTACTCCATGGCAAGCAGTAGTCTCAATGTGCTTATGTTTTTTGCTTGCTCTTTGCCTACAATGTCTTCTGTTTTTGTGTGTTCGCATGAACAGCAGGCTCGTTGCCTACAATGTCTTCTGTTTTTGTGTGTTCGCATGAACAGCAGGTGTTCCAGTGTCCAGAGTGCCCATATAGCAGCGCTTGGTCAAGATGTGTGCGACTGCATTTGGGCAAGGTACATGGCATCCAGAACGCTCCAGCATCACTGTGGCGTGACCAGCCCTTGCTCGATGAAATCATGGGGCTGCTGCAGAATCTGAAAAATTTGGCCGAGTCTTCTGGAGGTGCAGGGCTCGCTGCAGCACCTGCCACTCCAGCTGTAGATAAGCGCTATGTCTGTCCTCGCTGCCCGTATGCTACTGACCGTAGAGACCTATACCACCGACATGAGAACATCCACAAGGATGACAAGCCTTTCCACTGTTATGTTTGTTTCAAGTTGTTCAACCGAGCCGACCACGTCAAGAAGCACTTTCTGCGCATCCACAAGAACCACCCCTATGATATTGGCCTGATACGGCGCCATCCGCCACGCTCAGCAACTCACACAAGCCATGGTCCCTCTGCCAGTGGCCACCATCACAGCAACAACGGCCAATGGACACATCCTGCTGGTGCAGCACGTCTTGCCCAGCCGTCCAACTGTGCTGGTCCAGCTGACTGTTCCAGGGCTTTGCCTGTGCCTACCAATGGCTGTCCTGCAGGTTGGCATTTTTAAAATGCATAAATGTTTAGGGTCGGTCCTCCAGTGGCCTTGCATCCAGCATCTGGGAGCAAAAGTGGCATTGCAGCTGGTTCTAGTCACCAGAGACCATGTGTAGGAGAAAGAATTTTTGAGGCACCCAGGAAGGTACACTTATACTTCTTTTATACATAGCATGTGATACTGCCTTAGCTAAAGAGTATAATAGGGCGCTCCTTGCAATTAGAAGATTATTGCACAATAGCTCTGAAAAATGATGAGAATAATGATATGAAGTTGTTAGCTAAGATTTTAGTTTTGTTCAACTAAGTGCATGCTTGTTTATGCTCTAATAATGAAAGACATTTATTTTCAATAGTATCCTTAGTTTGTGTCAGGTTGTGTGGTGTCTGGATAGCTGACACGAAGAAAATGGCATCTCCTGCTACAGTTAAATGTTCATCAGCTTCTCGCCCCCCCCTCTTTTTTTTAATATGTTTTGCTGTGTCTTTAATGCTGTGTAAGAAGTTTACTGTTCATGTTTTTTTTCTGTGTGTGCCTCACCCCCTCTTCGCAGGGGCGTCTGTGCAAGCAGGCATTTGGTGCATAGCAACACCACGGACGTGAGTGAACGAGGGGGGGGGGGAGTTTCAACTCTCTCCCACGCCTAGCCATCCGTGGCGGAGCCGCGTCTAGGGAAAAGGGGATCCTGGGGGTTGAGCCGACGCTGGGTGCTTGGACCTTTAAGGTCCCCCGGCAGAGGCAACACACCCCTTTGGCCCCGGCTTCACATAAACTGTACCCCTGAGCTGACCCACCCAGGGGAAATCAGCAGTCGCCATTTCCTACTTATCTCTCCCTACATCTTCGTCTCTATATGTCACTTTTTATCTCTCCTGTCATCTTCTCTTTTCCGTTTGGTTCTAAATTTTCTGGTGGCGAAGGTTAACCCTGTGTAGTTGCCCAACCTTGGGTAGTTATATTCGATTATAGCAGCGATGCATGGCTGGCGTCTCCAAGGGTTTACTATTCACCCTTGTACCGTTCCCTTGTTAGGCTCGGTGGTGGGTGGCCACCATCGCCGCCGAATATTACATTTCCCTTATGACACACTTTTTCCCCGCACTCCCTGATCGCTACTCGGAAAAGTGGCGCACCGAAGAAAGCTTCACACTCCTGAAACCAAAGCAGTCGTTCCCAAAGTGCCTTGTTGTGCACAGCCAAAAAGAAAACAAAACAGTCCGATCAATCTCGCCTTTCCTCGTTTCAAAAACGCCCACAGAAGCTATTGGCTCAGGCTACAATGTAACCAAGTTAAAAAGCAACGACCTCCTCTCGTCACCAGCTAGGATTGTCACAAGCTAGGTCACCAGCCAGGAATAGTCTTTTCAATTGTAACGTAGAACTGCATATGGGACCGAAGTTGTTCAAGACCATAAGCCAAAGAGAAAGTGGGTTGATTACAAGCTCCAAGTATATATCTTGCTTTATTCTGATAAGCTTTACAAAAGAGACCTTCTAGGGCAGGTATATTGAGCATTAAAAAAACAGCTTCAGTGAAGCTTTGAATAAGATTGTGACTCCCCTCCATTTCTTCTGTTACTATTTTTATGAAATATTTTGTAATCTTTTAGAGCTATTTCACTGTGGAATGTATCATCAGCCAGTGAAGTTTATACTAGTATAGCAAGTTCAAGGTAATGTAAAACTAGAACAGTTTCAAGCACTACTGGTTTGTTAAAAATAGTACGACAGTTAATATTTGAAATTGTTGTGGTTAAAGTTTTCTGCTGTGATCAATTATCCCTTCTTGTGATCTTCTGACACTGGTCATTTAGCTTCATCCCTAGCAAACATGGTGTCACCTATGTCCAATTTACCAAAAATTAGTGTTGTCTTAGCTCCATTTTTTTCTCTCCTTAAACGAAGTCTCACTCAATTTTCTCTTAATTTCTCTAACTCTTGTTGAAAAATATTCAGTGACAAAGTCGCAGAACCTTTTAATTTAGAACCTCCTCTTAAAGAGTCCCTGAAATGGTTTTTTCACATTCCATTTTTGATTAGACCACTACTGAAGCAAATCATTGGCACCAGAGTTCAATCGAAACACCCATTACTAATGGAGCTACGAGCACTAAAAAAGTACCTTCTTCCTCCGCTTCGTCTTTCACCCTCAACTGTCCTCAACTCTTCCTTTGAGTGCTCGGGGCTAAGCTCGACCTTCACGGAGCCTGCGTCACGATGTGGCGTGAGACCGCATATGCGTAAATCCCACCGCAGCTCCGATACTGGCAGTCTGTGCTGCACGTTTCTCAGGCAATCAGATCAGCTATAAATGATCACGTCATTGGGGCAGAGCATGTCGCTTAGTGTATGGGCTGTTGAAAACGCGTTTGGCCGAGTCGCAGTGATTGCAGCAATCTGGGGTGATTCGCAGCTCTAAAGCTTTGTAATAAATTACACAGTTTACGCACAGAGCTCAAATCAGTCTCTAAATCACCCTTGGGACTTGGTCTAGCCGCCTAATGTGTTTGTGAAAAATTGTCAAAACTGTTTCAAATCCAACCATTTTATGACTGGCTGACCTCGATTTGCCTTTTGTTCTCCTAGCCTATGGCATCTTTCTATACTGTTAAATGAGATTTTCTGCTTTTGCAGGAGCAAATAATCCTTTGTTACACTGAATAATAATGTAACTAATATTGTCTAACAAAAAAAACTATTCTCAAGTTTACTCTTGTTTCCTTTGTTACACTGAGAATGACATCCTTGGTTTCACTGCTGGCCTCATCAATGCCATAAGGTTGTTTCTTTTGCTTCCATTTTCTTGTCTATCATTTATTCATGTTAATTTACAGAACTTTTATATTGTAATTTTTAACCAGCTTCATTGCTTCAAAGCCTGGTTAATTAAACATATCAGTTAGGCAGTTAGGCATAAAAGAAAAAATAGTGTTGCTTACTCCATGCAATGTCAGAAAGATTCATGTGGTCACGTCATCACAAAGTTTAACTGCATATTTGTAAACTCTGGCTAGAGATTACTGGGGCACCCTGTAGATATGACAACTTGGTTCTTTGACTTGCATAAGGCAGTGTAATAGGCATCTTTTGTGCTCTTACTTAAAACAATTCGAACAAGGCCAAATTCTGACTCTTTGTTAAGCAATGCCAAAAAGAGTTCTTGTGATGTATAGCTTGGTGTCTGTGTCAAAAGCAAATCATTTTTATTGCATCAGTTAACACAACACTTAATTTCACATTATGCCAAAATGAAGTGTTTTTTGGGTTTGGATCAACCATAAGATTTAAAGCTTTTTTAAAGAGATATTTGTTGTAATGTCATTCCAAAAGGCTGTGGTTCACGTATTTTTTAGACTCACTCATCATATTATTTAGAGATGCTTCATTATTCTTCTTGATTTAGGCTGGATGGTGGTGCGCAGCATGACTCTGTAGCAGCTGACTAAAGATGAAGGGATTTTGTGCAGGTGGTGCACAAGCCTGGGGCTTCCATGCTGGCAATGTGCCCGCTGTGTGCAGTGGCAGTGGCCCCAAGGCCATGGGCTGCCCTGCTGCCCTGCCCCAAGAGACAACAGGAAAAGGAAAACGTGGGGGTTCGGGCAAAACAGCAGCTACTGCCACAAGCGGAACTGCAGCAGCCAAAACATTTGCCTGTGCCTATTGCCCCTGGCGTGGCGTAGATGGCTGGTGCTTGCGGCGACATCTTAACACGCACATCAAGCCATTTTCCTGCCCCTTTTGCGAGTACAAGGCAGCCCGGTCAGAGCGCCTGAACACGCATGTGCTGAAGGTTCACGGGAAGCATCTGTGCAACAAGTGCCACTTTGCGGGGGAGGACTCTATTGCTCTGGAGCGCCATGTCAAAGAGAACCAGTGAGTCCAGCTTTTTCAGTACTCTTGCTGTGTACTTCATTGAAGTTATCATGAAAAATCATCATTATCATCATCGGCCTGACTACGTCCACTGCAGGACAAAGGCCTCTCCCATGTTCCGCCAGTCAACTCGGTCCTATGCTTGCTGCTGCCATTTTACACCCGCAAACTTCTTAATCTCATCTGCCCGCCTAACCTTGTGTCTCCCCCTAACCCCCTTGCCTTCTCTGAGATTCCAGTTAGTTACCCTTGATAACCAGCGGTTATCCTGTCTACGTACTACATGCCCGGCCCATTTACATATCCTCTTCTTGATTTCAACTATGATATCCTTAACCCCGGTTTGTTCCCTGATCCATTCTGCTCTCTTCTTGTCTCTTAAGGTTACACCTACCATTTTTCTTTCCATTGCTCGCTGCGTCGTCCTCAATTTGAGCTGAACCCTGTTTGTAAGTCTCCAGGTCTTTGCTCCGTAATTAAGTACCGGCAAGATGCAGCTGTTATATACCTTTCTCTTGAGGGATAGTGGCAATCCACCTGTCATGATTTCAGAGTGCTTGCCAAATGTGCTCCACCCCATCCTTATTCTTCTGGTTACTTCAATCTCGTGGCACGGCTCCGTGGTTATTACCTGTCCTAAGTAGACATAGTCTTTTACAACTTGAAGTGCACTATTACCTATCTCGAAGCGCTGCTCTCATACTCTTTCACTCTAAATTGTTCACCTTTGCCACATTTAGGCACACCAGAAGTTTCTGTTTTGTATGCTGTGTTTTTGAGTGTGTAATTCACACCTTTGTATAAAATGCACCCCCCCGCTTTTTACGAATTTCGTGGGGAAAAAAAATGAGACGCACTTATCTTTGACGCTGTCAACATCAGAAAGCTCGACGCACACTGAGTGTGTTAATTGCGAAATACATGGGCACACACTGTGCTGAATATCTGTAAGCAACAGTATAAAACTTGCGAATAGCACAGCCCTGAGGCATAAAAAACAAAGTGCTATTTATTCTACTGGATTCAAAGCCTTTGGTGCACTGTTAAAGAGTTTTTCCGCCTTAATTAGCATCATCGCGGGGCGGCTGTTGTCCGCCTTTGAGTAACTCTTTTACATGGCATTGAAAGCACCTTTGAGCACAATGTTGACATTTTTGCTAATGCATTATGAGGCTTCGTGAGAACACCAATGATCACACCACAGGTTTGACGCCTACACACAAACACACATACAAACATGAATGGTGACCGGAAGCCAGAAGCTGCAACACTGCAGGACAGGAGCCACATGTGGAAACTGATAACAACGAAGGGTACTTTCGTTCCTGTTACTGGTTTTGCAAGTGCTACAACGTTGCAACAAAACATTGTGGTGCCCTTCTTCACTTGTTGGCTTAGTTCTGTAGACTTAGTTAATTAATTTTTAAGAACAATCATTCTGAATAGTATAATTGTTTGTGTTATGATGATGTCAATTATTGCGGCCATAATCTTCATGGTCACCACAGTGGTTGAACAGCAAGTAGCTGACATCTAAGACCACACCCATTTCATTGTTATAACAAAATTAGATGTTTTTTTTTATGAATGCTCTCGTGCTCTGTTTATTTTGCTTGTGAACAAAATACCGACATATTGGTCTTGCAGAATGGCATGACGTTTTTGCATATATAAGATGCACCATTGTATAAGACACATTAGAGAAAATATATAAAAAAGATTAGTCTTATACACTGGAAAATACGGTATGTGAATTAAAACACGTCAAATCTTCACTCTTTCTGGCACTGTGGTCACTGTTGCTGACCAACTACTGAATTTTTTTTTTGCGGTGCCACCTAGCTGTCGATCAAGCTAACAAGTGTTTAGTTTTCTTTCTTAGTCTTAAAAGTGCTCCAGGTAGTGCTAGGTCTGTAGAGGAGCGTTTTTTTTTTTTTTATTGCTAAGCAACAGCCTTAGAGCCAGCATGCCACATCCCATGCTGAACTCTGAAAGTTCTCATGTGTGCTAAGCTATGTGAACTTTACGGGACCTTTGTTGTATGTAGCATGTAGCGCGATCGTGTAATAATCGTTCTGGCAGTATTCGTAAAAATACGCTGTGAACTAGGTCGATAACGTAGGACTACTTTTTTTTGGTGCCAGCTACACTAACCACCGTGCAGGAAATAGCTTAGAATTAGTGTTCCAGACTGGGCCAAATTTGTCATAAAGTTACATTCTATGCTAAAAATTCCTCTTTTTGTTCCATATGAATATACGAGTCCCACTGGCACTAACAACTCTGCTGAAGGTGACAGTTCAAGTGATACAAATATGGCGAGGAAGAGGATATCCACAATCTCATGTCCGATGACAAATCCTTGATTTTACATTTTACTGAAGATAGAGTGACACATATGACACAAAAATCGATGTGCATTCTAATGTCACAATCCAAATGGTTCCCGTACCAAGCACCAAAGAAATAATGCCTCTGGTGCTAATATTTTCATGACTGCACACTGGAACCTGACTTTGATAAAATTAATAGTACTACCCCATTTGTCATTTTTTAGAAGTTTTTGTTTGGTTATCTGTACATGCAGAAAAAGAAATATAAGCACTATATTCCATCAGTCAATGAGGTGATCATAGCTAAGCAAGGGTGTGAGAAATGCACCGCCGAAGGCATATTCATTGAGAACGATGTGGCTGTGCCAAACATGAAAGTGCCAGTCTGCCTTTGGGAGAAAAAAAAAAAAAAAAACTTCTTTCTTAACAGCAGAGAAGATAATTTCCGAAATTGGAAGTGTACAGTATGTCTCTACATTGCAAAGGACCATATGTGCAATCAGTCGGACCCCTTTATCAGAGACACTGATATAAGAGACAAATGGGCATAAGAGACACCAATGTGCCTACAGTAAAATAAGGGTTGATAATAAAATGTGTACAAGGTACTGTGCTTATAAGAGACATCTCATATAAGAGACAAGAATTGCTGCCCAGAAAGGGGTTCAACTGTATGTAGAGACCATTCCGGTGTGGTGGCCAGCAGTACTGACCATGGATGGATGGAAAAGCTTCGTTAATTGTCCAGTAGATTAATGGCCCGAATTCAGGTCTCCTATGTAGGGACATAAAGGCCTTGCCTCTCCGCCGCTTGACAGGCTTGCTGGACTGTCCAGAGTTGGTAGGCAAGCTTGGGAGTTACGCAAAGCAGCTTCCCACTTCGCCAAGAGAACGTCAGAACTAACACCGTATTTACTCGCATAATCCTCGCACTTTTTTTTTGGCGGAAAACCGATGCAAAGTTGGGGGGTGCGAGAAGTATGCGGGGAAAACTTTCCACGAAAACATACAGAGCGAAAAAGAAAACGAAGTGGCCGCAAGTTGGGATTCTCACACCAGTAACTATCGGCAAGCTTTGAAAAGTGCTCATTAAAACTTACCTCAACAATAAAAGCACAGGTTCAACACAAGGCAAGACTTATTTGAGACACAAAAAGTGCGAGAAAATAGTCGGGAATTAGAATACTATGCGCGAAGCTTGTGGGCGTTGCGGGTGTAGCGGTAGCGTTCCTCGCTTAACGAAAGCACGCAAAAGGTAAGCGTAGGACGCCAGTATTGGGCTGATGAGTGTTTAACAGAATCGTCCGCAGTTTCCTTCTGAAGAAATAAAGTTTGCCATCAATCCCAATTTGGTACGCACATGGCAGGCCCAACTCGTCTTGGTGGCTTTCAGCTGCTGCCACCAGTAGCGAACACAAAACTCGTAGACTCCGAAGGGCCTTCCGGTGCCCCTGTTGCCATTGTTGAGTGCATGATCTATCTCTTTCAACTTGAAAGCAGCCGTGTAGCACCAGCATCGCCCCATAACGTGACAAGATTACTGATGCAAGGTACAGTTGAAACCCGCAATAACGAAATCGGCGGGGAAAGCACAAAATTTCGCTCTTGCGGGAATTTGAATTCGTTGGCGCGAGAATGCAGCAGAAAAGAGATGAAATTTAGAAAAAAAAAACATATTATTTCCAAAAGTCAGTAAGTTTAGTTTGGTGAGCCTTACCATGCAGCAATTTCATGCCTCTCGACTCACACTGTAAAAAATAGTCCATCACCACGTCGTCGTCGTGCTCGCCGAAAAACGTACGAATTGTGTCGAAAGCGTTCAACACATCCTGCGGACTTGTTGTTTTCTCTGGCTGCTCCGGTCGTTGCTCATCGGGATTGGCCACCTCACACACGCTACTGACGATGGCTTCATCAGTCACTTCTTCGTCCGTGAAAACGAACTCATGGACGCTGAGGCCATTGGGTATCTCGTCTGCCACGGCACAAAGTTCGCCCCATACACGGGTCAGTGACGGCGCCACTGCGCTGTTACCAGTACCATTATCAAATGCGCCTATAGGCGAACCTTCTTCTGGTTCTGCCGGATAAGTGCATAATGCCTGCGGAGTGACAAGGCCGGCGAGTGTGAAGCAATTCGTTATCACGGCTGGACTCGTCACAATCCATGCGTCTGTGATCATCTCTAGCGCCATGAACAAGTTCACGTCAGTCGGGCGCTTCACATGTATATTCAGCAGCAAACGCTAAATCAGCCTCTCTCTGTAAGCACACTTCACGCTGTGAATAACTCCCTGATCGAGAGGCTGCAGCACTGAAGTGCAATTTGGTGGGAAAAACACGAGGCGCACATTTCTGAGCTGCACGTCGACGCGATGGGCACTACAGTTGTCGAAAAGAAAGCAGACTGACCTCTTTGCCTTGCGCATCTCGGCATCGAAAGACTGGAGCCAGCTGCTAAAAATAGCACGCGTCATCCACGATTTCAAGTTCGCGGTGTAGCTTACTGGCAGCCTGCGATTCCCCTAGAAACAACGGGGCATCTTGCTCCTGCCAATAACGAGCAGTGGCTGTTTATCTGTGCCATTCATGTGGGAGCACAATAAAATCGTCACACACCGCTTGCTGCACTTTCCACTGTGGCACTTTTGGCCTTTAAAGTCCAAGGTCTTGGATGGCAGCATTTCATAAAGCAATGTCGTTTCATCGGTATTATATATGTCCGAGGGCTTGTTCTGGCCGAGCAGTTCTTTGTTGCTCAGCAGCGATGATGACGTTGTCGTCGAGTCAACGACTCCTGCCTCCCCGGAGATGACTTTGGCAACGATGTCGTGGCGAGCTTTGAAACAGCTCAGCCAGCCGGGACTCGCCTTAAAGTTGTCGTGGCTTAGCATACAGGTGAAGTCCAGTGCCTTCTGTTGCAGGATCTTGCCAGATAAAGGCACCTTGTTGGCACGTTGTTCATAAAACCACGCGAACACCGCCTTGTCCATGTCCGGGAACGCTGCAGCCATCATGGTTTTGTTTCTTGCACACGCGCCGCTTTCAAGTGCACCAAGAATGGAGGCCTTGTTCTTAAGAATCGTGGACCTCGAGCTGCAAGCAATGCCGAATTCTTCGGCGATGTCAATTTTTTTTCTGCCCTTTTCCACCTCGCTGATAATTGCAGCCTTATCTTCCAGCGTGATGAACTTCTGCTTTTTCGTTGGGGACGGCATATTCGCAGGCAGCGAAATCGGATGAAGCAATCGCAACACACTCCACAAATCAAAGCAATCGAACTCTCCACAAATGGCTCCACACACGTGACCATGTGTGCGCGAAGCTGATAAAGCCAAGCACATAGCCAAGCCAACGAACGACACTCCATGAGGATTGTGGCTTTGGCTACGTTTGTAGTCCGCAAAAATTAGCAGGTGTTTTGGCAAGCCACCATCATCATCATTGTCGCGAGCCTTGTAAGCAATGATGGCGGCTGCTTTGCAAGTACGCTTAGCGATAGTTTTGCACAATTTAAGTGTGGCATAAATGCATTTCAGCAGTTTTCGAATGTAAATGTTGCGAGAATAGATTATTTGCGCACTCGTGTTTCAAAAATTTCGTTAATCAGGTCAAAAATTTCGTTAATCAGGGACTGCGGCATGAATATTTTTCGTCGTCGCGAGTTATGAAATGCATTGACTCCTATGGGCGTTCGCCGGTGCTTCGAAAATATTTCGTTGCAGTGAGAATTTCGTTCCCTCGAGATTTCGTTATCGCGGGTTTCGACTGTACAAACCACACTGCAACGCGCACTTGCCCTTTTGGCTTGGCTTGAATTGGATTGAATCTTCGTGCAATAATAGTACGATGATGCTTAAGAGATGGGGCCAGACGGCGCACGCTATCATCAGTGGTTTTAACGAGCAGACGACATTATTGTGGCAGTTTTCGGGGGTGCGGTAATTACTCGAAGAAAAAAAGAAATCGTATTTTTGTTGGCCGATGTGGGGGGTGCAAGAATTATGCGAGTGCGAGGATTACGCGAGTAAATACGGTACATTTCGCTTTAGCTTTGCATTCTCGGAGCATGTGCTTTAGCGTGGCTGTGTCTACGTGGCAGACCTCACAGGTGTTGGTGCTATAAATATCAGGGTATATTCGGTGATATAGCAGTGGATTAGGATAAGTGTTCGTTTGCAGCTGTCGCCAGGTAACTGCTTGAGCTCTGCATAAATTGCCACAAGGTGGAGGATAGTATCGCCGGGCCAAGTAGAACACCTTGGTCAGTTCATTGTATCCCGTAAGTCGGTCCCGGTCCAAATACTCTTCAACAAGGCCATCTCCTTCTGCATGGGCTGTTGCGTCGCGTGCAGCAGAGTGCGCTTTCTAATTAAGGTTAAGGATAGAGAGCCATTAAGTAACACAGGGCATTGCCAAAGCGTGTGGGCTAAGGAAAAATGAGTTGCATTACAGTTCGGGTGGCTTGCATTAATCTCTGTAGAGATACGACTAAAAAAGCCCGTCGAGGGGAAATAGCCCGTCCTAAGCATTATAAGTGTAACTGACTGAGACCTGTCTAACTTCAGGTGAGGAAGAGTATAGGCCCTTTGACCAACCAAACCAATATCGAGAGGTGATTTCAATAAATGTAAGGAGTGGATCATGAAGCTGGATTTCATCCTGTCTCCATAAGGCCACCATGCTGCTGTCGCACGTGACGTCTCGCGCACGGTGATGGGCAAGCTTATTGAGGTTAGGTATGGTCTGATAGATGTCTGCACCAATATGGGCGGGAAAACAAGAAATGAAGTGAGTGCTGAGATTTGCCCTTTTTCCAGAATGGAGGCAGCCTCTTGTATCAGGATCCCGATTCAAAAACTTTGATAGCCGCTCATGAGCCTGTAAAAAAGTTGGTGCGTGAGGTCATGGCCAGGGCTATGGCGACCTGTTTTGCAACAGCACTCGTAGCTAACCTAACTGAAGCAGAAGAGTGTAATTCTCCATTGCCATCAGTGACTGCCAGCGCAAATGCGGAAGACTTGCCTTACTGAGCGTCGTTGACTAAGACAGTAGATTTGAGATTTTTACCAGGCTTCTGTAAAATTGCTTGTGCTCTGGCTTCTCACCTCCCTACATTATATTGTGGGTGCGTATTCCGAGGGAATGGGCTGACCAACGGCTTCCCGAACGTCTCTGGATGAGATGATTTCCCGTTCATTAAGCATACTAAGAGCCTTGCCAGCCCTGCCTAGGATGCATCTCTCTGCCCTGGTTGCCGAGAGTCTGACCATCTATCTGAGCGGTGATCTGTGTTTCGATCACTTCATAGATGTAGTTGTGCATATGGAGTCGGCTTAATCGATCAGAGCAAGTGGTCACTGGTAACCTTCATACTTTTTTGATGCTTTTACGCATGAGAGTGTTTAGCCTATTTTTTTCCTAGTCCATTAGGGGCCGAAGCTGCATAGTTTTTGCATCTCATTAGGAAGGCATGATGGATCTGGAGTAGGTTGTTTTCAACTAATTTCTTCCTGTGTTTATTACACTGGCAGGCAGTGTTTCAGCATCTTGGCCGTGGTGTGCATCAGGTTTTTGGCGTTACATTCTCTCACACGATGGAGGTGAAAATGCCGTAGGCCCGTGTGCTCAGATTTGGGTGCACGTTGTAAGAGCCCCAGGTGGTCGAAATATCCGGAGCCCTCCACTACGGCACCTCTCATAATCATATGGTGGTTTTGGGACGTTAAACCCCAACAATCAATCAACAATCGATTAACCAACATCCTCTCACACCAATAAGAAATTCCAGGATTCTGGTTGAATCTACTCGTGAAATGCACTATCCCTTTTTTGCAAAAAGGGCATTGGGAATTGGGTACAGGTGTGGAAGTCTCACAACGCCTTGCCTGGCCAGCTTTTACAGTAACAGCATCGTTTTTCGCTTCTATCCCTCTGAACAAGGCATTAAGGATCACAAAAGAGATGATCTCGAAATTGTAAATGTTGTCATGAATGACAATCTAAATAACGTCTGTGTAAGCTTTGCTGTAGTAACATGTACCTCTTGCTGAAAACGGAACTTTCTGTTCCAGCTTGAGCTCGAGCTTGAACGACAAGTCACGTATGGGCTGCTCCCTGTATCCACCGTTTCCTGTACGACCGCCACACCCACAGATTTCGCAGCCAGTGGACAAGTGCAAAATTGAGCCTTGTGGATGTTCGGTGCCCAATGGCACCAGTGCTTGCACTTCCAATTCAAAACCACAGGTGGGACGTAAGTATTGGCGCAATTGTTCCCTATATGATTACTTACTCAAAAGGATTATGACATATACAGTAAACTCTTGTTGAAGATCCCTCAAGGGACCAGGAAAACATGTTTTATTTTATGGGAGTTTGTTTGCTAAAAGATGAACAGGGGTGCTGAATTCAGGTACGAAACTAGTCATGTAAGAAGCAGTATTTCCTTTAGCCACATTATGTCGCCACATTATGTGGCTACATAATATGTTCAATGAAATTTGGAAGAAAGGAAGAGTCACATGGTTAAAAATGGAAGCATACAAATCTCTGATACACCGTACTGAAAATTGCTGCTGTAAATGCATATTAAGTGTTCAGGCACATAAGAGGAAATATAAGAGTGTTTTTTTGTGAATTGATTCTCCTAGTGGAAATGTCTGCATGTGTGCAGCATTATCAGCTCTCCTTGCAGAGGCCGATAGCGAGGTGTGTATGAGAATAGCTTTCTTGGGTGAGCCCCTTTTAAGCGTGACCCGCTCATCCTGTCTCTCTTTACATGGAGTGCAGCAACTGAGCAGCGAGGGCTAGCAGACTGCGTGTCCCCGGGGCCTGCCCATAGCCGGGAGAGTGGCTGCAGGGACAACCCCAACAACCTGGCCACAGTGTTCCCTTATCGCTGCGTTGTGTGTGGATTCTGCTCCTTTACTCAGGACACAATGATTGCACACATGCGCCTCCATTCGGGTCAGACACTTTGTTGCCGAGCCATGGATGCATGCTGTCAATACAGCACCCCTTTCGAGGATGTGCTGCGTAAGCATGTTTCCACAGAGCATGGTGATGACGATGCAGTGGCGCGGTGCCCACACTGTGGGATGCCATGCAGTAGTGCCAAGGTGCTGACACGACATGCAGCAGAAAGCCACCACAACCTGGCACTCAAGGGACGCTGTGCTGACTGTACAGTGACGCTTTTGCGCCATTTTGGACTGGTGGCAGAAGCAGACACTGCTGTCAAGGTCTTAGCAGCACCCGTGCTGCAGGTTCAGCGATTGAAGCAGTCTAGGAAGCAACCCAAACCTCGGAAAGTAGTTGTTTGTTGCTCTGATCGCTGTGGAAAGTCCCAGCTAGGCTCAATAGCTCCACGACATCGGCGAAAACGTTGTACACCTTCGCGCATACCTTTAGGAAAGTCCTCGCTGAGCCTGTCTTGTCACCACTGTAAATTGGAAGGTGGATTAAGGCGCAAAAAGGCATTCAGGTGTCACAGTAGTTACCTGGTCCACATGTACTGGTGCCACTTAAGGGAACGACATCGATGCTCCCGGTGTGGGTTGGGGTTTAGGCACGGCTACCAGTGTTATCTTCACTCGAAAAAACAGCACAGCTAGCCAAGGCCTTTTTTCAGATGTCTTTTGGTTGTTGTTGTTGTTGTTTCCACCGTGATAGCAGGATTTACAGTTATCAATATTATCCTGAGCCTAGGTACCTGTGTGAAGCACCCAGTGAATTTGTTTATCACACTGCGATTGTGATGACAAAATATATTGTCCTGATGAAAGTAAATGGGAAGTTATCTTGCAGACCTCTTGTTGTGTCTTCAAGCTAAATGTGCGCTGACCTTGTTTTCCTCATATATGTGTGGTTCCCCACAATAGTGTGAGGTGCTTTGAACTATAGCCATAGTTCAAAGGTGGCTTTTTAAGCTGTGCTCATTGTAACCTTGGAAACCATGAACTGTAAGGTAAACATGGGTTTTACTTGCAGAGTAATTGCAGACCATATGTGTTCATGTAGCACGTGAATATTTCTTGCGAGAATTTTGTTTTTTTTACATGTAACATCTTGCATGGAATATTATAGCCAAGCTAGCTTCGCGTGATGGACGGCATTGTTAAGCGTGCTGTGCCTGAGTTACCTTTATCAGTACATATTCTTTGAAGACAATTCTAGTTGCAGAGCTCTAGCATTTACTGCTTTGTTATTTACATTTGAAGTCATTTGTGACAAATTTGTTTTTATTAGCACTTTTTATAGGCAAGGTTACCACAAGGTTGTGTGCAATTTTTCTTACAAGAAACGTGCTGTGGTAGAGAAAATACTAGGTTGTTATTGCGAGATGTTGCTCTTATTCATAGATTTATGGACACTAAAACAGTGATATGTCATATGTTTTCTCAGCTGTACACAAACTGCCATTGTACCAATTTCTGAGGATTGTCCAAACACTGAACATTCTTGAACACCGTGCTCATGTACAAATTGTTAAAATTTAGCTGAAAGGAAGGGGGTGTGAGAGTGCAATTTATTCTTGCTATCTATATGTACAGACAGGGCATATATATGTATATACAAACAAGTCTGTGCGATATGCTATTTCTAATTAATATTTAAAGCTATTTGTCATAAGGAACTGCCTTTTTTGGCATTGAGTATCTTTGAAACTTCATTTATGAAGGTAGCCCATTGGTGACATTCCATTTTCTTGCCAATAAATCTTCTAGATAACCTGTTCTGTTGTCAAAAAAAGAATTATACAGTCTTATAATGACAAGAAATTTCCATGTAGCTGAGTAATTTTCTAAAATAAAACTGAACTGTAAGTAGCATTAAATTTCAGCATAAGATACACCATGTGGTCTTGTGGTGCTACAATTTTTGTTGGTTTGCATGGTAGAAGAGCTGCATATTGGTGAGTTGGGATGGGCAGTTTAGTTTCATAGCAAGGTGTATTTGTGTATTCTGTGATTATGGATTATTGAAGTAAATTTTATATTGATTGAAACATATTGTGTTGGGCATCCTACCTCGCATTTGTGATATGGTAATTCAGCTGTTGCTTAATGCTTGCTGATAATATAGTGTTATTATTCTTATTAAGTTGGAGATTGAAAGCATTTGTGTTTTAAAGCTAAGAGTTTTTACTTCTCGCTCTGAGTTGCTTGAATATCAGGGTACCAGTTTTCTTATTCCATCTTCTTGGTGTTTGATGATGTAATGTCTGGAGAGCATGCTATGTCCAGGGTACATTAATGCTAAACAGGCTTCAGAGTTTAAATGCATGCCCTTTGAAATTTATTTAGCCTATAATGCCTAGCAAAAATTCTAATAGAAAAAGTAATAGCTTATCTCGTTATATGTACTCTAATACATGTATGAGTGTCCACAACCTAAGAGACTATTAGAATTTTCGCTAGGTAGATATTTATAAGGTGGCTTGAAATGATGTTGCACTCAAAATGGTGGATTCCACTAGAGAGATTATCTTAATATCAGCCTTGTGACATTGTCATTTTGAATTGATAAACATTTTAATTTTTGAGTCAATGAAAGAAAGCTTTGGTGAAAACTAACATTTTTTAAATTTTCATTTGAGCTGCGGTTTGCTTTTCATTCAGTTAGAATACGCTATTGCTTGCTTCAATTCAGGACATATATCTGTATGAGAACTTAGTCTCTGCTCTGTACTTTTCTGGACTAGTACTATACATATTTAAATAAACAAGCTTTGGTGGCACCAACCGTGTGCTCAGATTTGGGTGCACGTTAAAAAAACCCCAGGTGATCGAAATTTCCGGAGCCCTCCACTACGGCGTCTCTCATAATCATAGCGTGGTTTTGGGACGTTAAACCCCACAAATCAATCAATCATTTGGTGGCACCAAAATTGAATATTATTTGAGTAACAAGTGGAGATTTTGTGGAGTGTTTATTTACAGTAGAGACTTTAGGTTTGTAATATTTGCCTTCTTGCACATTGCTTTGTCCTGTCACTTTCATCCTAATTTTTTTTAGTGAATTTTCTTGAGTATTGAAGTTTTTTTTGAGGGGGGTTGGCAATTGGATTGCTTAACTTTAGGTAGCTGTGCTGTTTTTACGAGCTTTCTTGGTGCTGTATTCAAAATGTTTTTGTTGGGGCAAACCATGGGGCTTTCAAGTACTCTGTTGTAAAACCTGGCCATCTTGGGAGCAAGCTTGTTGGTTTCCCTAGCACAGAAAAAAAAAAAAACATTCATTCATGCATTAGCTGTGCCATACATGACTGTTGTTTGCTCTACTTAAATGCTTTCTGAAACATGCTTTATGTGGCATGGAAACAGTAGCTGTGGCTATGAACTGCAGACCATTGCCATAGTCTCCGTGTCACCATTCCACAAAGATGTTTTTGATATAGTTTCATTACCAAACTGTTAAGCATGCTTTTATATAAAGCTAAAGGTGTAAGTGAGTGTGTGTTCAGGTGTGTGCACGCATGTGTGTGTGTTTTTAATGAGAGATGCTATATGTATGGTTTGTTTCACCGCTGGGGAAAACATCTGAAAAGTTGGCACCAGTACATGTTTTGTTATGGTATAAGAGGAATTGGCCATATTTTTTAAGCAGTGTAAGGACAAACCAAATTTGTGAGAGTCTGAATAAGCAATTCTGTTTAGGCTGCGTAGGCAAAACTGTGCCCTTGCTTTAGAATTGCGCATCTGCTTATTGCTCATATTTTAGGCAAAAGATATCATTTTGGTGTGTGGAATTCTTGAAGCTGAATGTGTGGATAAGCTATTGAAAATTTCAAACATGCTCATTACAGAGTACCTTTCATACAATGGGTCTTCATGAGTGTTTATTGTCAGTTGGACAGAGAAGTTTTTGAAAAATCAATCATGAGTGAACGTGTGACATTCAAGTAAAATATTGATGTTTATCTTGTGCATCCAGTGATGCAGTTGTGTGTGTCAGTACTGTGCATGTTGTCTAACTATAGCCTCATTTATAGACCTGGGCATTCTCTTCGAGAATATTAACTTCGTGGTAGCATGTATGAATTACCATTGTGAGCCCCCCCTACCCCCTCTTTTTCTTTTCATTCTGCATTGACTCGGTTCATGGTTTGACAAGCAACCATTCAGCTGTAGCATTACTGAAAGGGACACTAAAGTCATATCACAATTTACATCAGAGTGAAAGCTAAACATATGACAACATCTAAAACGACAATATTATCAACAGGAGGGCCCTACTTACTGAGAAATTAAGCTAAATGCACAAGAATACATGCACCACTGTAGGACATTCTCAAAATGATACCGATGACGTCGGACAAACCTCTTACAATAAATCACTAATAATCGATCTAGCTACACTAAATAAAGAACCTTCCGTGCATCAAGAGACACAATAAAAGGCTGCTTGTTTGTTTCTGTTTGATTCTTGGAGAAAAGAACCGCCGAAGGTTACTGTGGAGTATGGCGCAAGTGGTTCAAAAATTCAATTTTCGCATGGTTACACTGGACAGGTCGTGCCATCTAACAGGGCACAGTTGAACCAAAACACGTCTGCTATCTCAGAGCCAATGGCAGGAAATTGATCGATGGCCATTGTTGCTGCTGTGGCTCCTGCTGCTTTCGTTCTGTCTACTAGTGTCGGTGATTGCGCAGTAGAACTGGGCAACGTTGGGCATGGTAACAGGGACAGGAGTAGGGTGGCTGGAATGGGGAGGTGTGAAAAGCGAGCCGTGTTTCTCTTGTCCAGAGGAGCTGCTTTGCGTGATATCTCCACTTGGCCAAAACGTGGCGTACGTGACAGTCAGAGGTGCTGCCAGCTAACTTGAAGGAGATGGTAGGCCGCTGCGACAGGACCTTGTCAGCTTCGTCGGCGTTCCATGTGGTTTTGCGAGTACTTTGTGTTAGTGTGCGTTAAGAGAAATGCTATCCACAAAATTGAGAAAACTGAGGAACCGTGCTTCATGTCTGGCGCTGCTGTTCGGAGTACGACGGAACATGCTCGACAAAGGGGTCACTTATTTGTGCGCTGGCATGCTGACAGATTTGCAGTTTGGCAGCTTGCCATGCTCGAGGGAAGTAGAGCTACAGATTTCTTTAATTGTGGGGCCAAAATAAGTGCCCCTACTCTTATCACAAGTGTAATGGAGGTAAAGCTATAGAGAAAAATTTGGCCATCTAAGAAAAAAAATCATTTTGGCTCAAGTTAAATGTAGAGAACCCAAACAACTGCTGCAAAAGCTTTTACGCCCATGTATGATAAACACCAGCAGCTAAATTACTAAATGCTTTAATTTCAGAGCTCTTAAATATCTGAAAGATTGCTTGGTAACTGCATTCATTTGAATGTTCTAGTTTTTTTCTCGATTTTACAACATTGTATTTTTGTTAAGCATTTAGAGCAATGCAGCGAAGGCTCCTCTTGTGTATTGTAGGCACAAATAACAAAAATGCATTGTGCCCGTTTAAAGCATTGCAAAACAGCTGCAAACTTAGATAACTAGAAAAGTGATTATTCAAAGGCTGCTCTACACACCACGACTATACAGCTTTAAGCAGCTAATTTAAAGCAGGCTGACACATGTTTTTTGCATATTTCACCTGCATTCAAAGATAGTAGGTAGCTTATTGTAGCTGTAAGCAGTGTACGTGTTGCACATAGTGGCTGCGTCCAACATGTAAGCGATTCGCAAAATCTGTGGTGAAATTCGTTTACATCGTGATTCAGCAATCATTTTTCTTCAATGTGAATTTAACCTAAGCATTAATGGTGCTAATTAAATTTGGCTGAAGCCATGAAACTAATTACTATCTCTTATTGAAATTTAATAACATGCTGGCTTTATGACGGTGCAATCTCAAGCTTAAAGTTCAGCATTTATTAAAGGGCTAAGAACAAATGAACAAGACTACTCACACTATTCAGCTACATTTCATAGTGCAAGAGAATGCAGTTTACCAAAGGTTATCTCGGGATAACTAAAATGCTAGAAAACTTTCGAAATCATGTTATGTCCTGCATGTAGAAGCTTTCTTTTTTTTCTCCGTGTTTGTGTAGATAAATATTGGGAAGATGGAGATAATTTCACCTTCATCCAATATGTAAACAGTAGCTCATTCGTAATAACAATTCATCGAAAAATGGTCGCATTATTGATGGCTGTGTTATCTCTGATTTTTCTGAAAAATAGCTCTAGCCTGCAACAGACAGAATTGACAAGACCAGTGCTGTTTTTCCAATGATACAGTATGCTCCACCAAGCCCGCATTAATTCACGCTCTATTTATGTCTGGTTGTCCGACTGCTGAAAGGTTCGCTAATGCCGTTAATTATTCTTGAACATGGCATAAGTGGAATGCAAATTCATGAAGTTATTTATCACGTTGATAAAACTCTTCCAGTGGTGAGAATCTAGCAACAACCAACGTGAGTGCACGGGCTTTGGCAGACGAAGAGCGGCGGTGCATAACAAGCACCTGTCCTACCACTCCCACCCCACCAGGCAATATGCGCCATGAAGGTGTTGCACGAGCGATTCCCCCTCCCCCAGCTGTGATGAAGCACGACTTTACTCCTCCTCGCCCCGTCGAGCAAGCTGGCAGCGCCTCTGACTACAGCGCCACCGCTGCGGTATCGCGAATGGGAGCCAACTTGGGGCGGTCGGTTTTCCCACCTCCCAATTCTAGCCAGCTTAACGTAACTCGGTTGGCTTCTAGAGGCGGGTAATTTGAAGTGCGCTAACTCGATGCAGGCCACTAAAATGTGATTTTATTTAAAATACACCCTTCTTTGGCACAACAGTAACATTACGGGGTTTTTGGACCGCTATTTCAACAATCAACGTCGACTTAATAGTTGCCTTTAATGTTCCTTTAGGCCTCTTGTTGTACCATGTATATTGTGTACCTTACCTTTAGTTCAGCTTGCTGGTTATGATAAATTGTTATGATAATTTAATAATGCTATGCCATTTTGCAGGAAATAAGCATTTAGTGTTATTGACTGTTAAGAAGCAATATTTGTACTGTTTGCGGACATGAATCAGCATGACCTTCCAATTAAACAATGCCTTTTTACTTTTACCTAGTTGTGCGTACACTGCCCTGCATTCTCATTTGACTATGACCCATTGATTTGCTAGACTGGCAGTCA